AATTAATCCATTGTTTATGTAGATTCATTAATGATAATGAGATTAAACTATGACGGTGACATTTATGTAAATGGTGTATATATCTGTGTGTCTGTATTGTGTACGTCCCCCCAACTATTTTCTTCACCCCTGTACTCATACAGTAAAATAGTTGGTAATGTTTATATGTTTACTAACCCAATTGTTTTGTCCTTTCAGCTACTAACTACTAAAAACTACCGCAAAGTTAACTTCGACGGCTCATTAATCTGCCGTCACCACCCGACACTGGCAGTATAGTCGACAACACCGTATTGGAGACTCGGTTGCCAAGGAAAAATAAAAAAAAAAAAAAAACATCACGCCTTTTATCCCCGAAGGGTTAGGCAGAGGTACACACAGAAGTAACACCTACTTTTCACTATTTATGTTACGAATCCCATGTAATAGGGAGTGAGCCTATTGTCATATACCGGGCACAATTCTAAACTCCGTGCTACTACTGAGATTTTTTTAAAATCCAGTAATAATAATTTGCCCGACACGGTAATCGAACCCGAGACGCCTTGCTCAGCAGTCGCACTTGCGACCACTCGGCCAACGAGGTAGTCAGATATTAATACCGGAAACATTATAAAACAGATTGTCTGGCTAGCAATATTATGAGTAAATAAATGAATGATTCATTTTAAATAGAGTTGTGTATGTTTTACATAGAACAGATAAATTAAGTAGTTAAAGTAGGTAACATTAATTGCTAGCGACCCGCCCCGGCTTCGCACGGGTTCGATATTCATGTATTATACACATATAAACCTTCCTTAACTCGTCGAGTACCGTCATTATAGACACAATTAAAGATTTTTTTTTTAACTCGTCGAGTACCGTCATTATAGACACAATTATAGAACAATAGGTTGCGGTCACCGGTGTCCTCGCTGTGTTTGACAGTTTAAGAATTACTCTATTTATTAAAAAAACCGCATCAAAATCCGTTGCGTAGTTTTAAAGATCTAAGCATACCTAGGGACAGACAGACGGCGGATAGCGACTTTGTTTTATAATATGTAGTGATTATTTTGATTTGATTGCCTCGTTGGCCGAGTGGTCGCAAGTACGACTGCCAGGCAAGGCGTCTCGGGTTCGATTACCGGGTCGGACAGAGAATTCATGGGTTTTAAAAAAAAAAACATCTCAGTAGCACGGAGTCAGGAATTGTGCCCGGTATATGGCAATAGGCTAATGAAAAGTGGGTGTTACATTGTACAGTGGCATTAAGTGCTGTAGTGCTGTAAAGGCGTGATGTTATGTTATGTGTAGTGACTGGGTACTATTGTGGAGACAAGTGAAACGACTGACTGTTGGAAGCCGACTGGCACATATATTTATTACACATATTCATATACTCGACATTGTATAGCGCATCGGATATATAAGTGGATATACAGATCCTACATATGTTATTTTAATTTTGCATTTCATTGGTCCACTCGAGTCACAATTGCAACAGGCAAAAAACTCTGCCGCATCTTTTTGCCATCGACCCTCACGACAGCATATGCATCCCTATCATATAGATGGTTGGCAGGCCACAACTGTGCGGTTCTCACGTAGCTTCCTGCCTCGCACAGCAAAACTGTGGAATAATCTGTCGTCGGCGGTATTTCCGAACCGATACGACCTTCAAACCTTCAAGAAAAGAGCGTACTCCTTTTTAAAAGGCCGGCAACGCACCTGTGACTCTTCTGGTGTTGCGGGTGTCCATGGGCGGCGCTGATCGCTTACCATCAGGTGATCCGTCTGCGCGTTTGCCTCTTATTCCATAAAAATACTGAGAATTTTTTATGGTTATAGCTACACAGTATGAATAACAAAAGTATTCGTTGCATTTTATTGTGTCACTGTCTATCCTCTATTCAATTAAATGCCACAATAATAACATGGGTGGTATTTAATACTTTAACTGTAAATTCCCTTTTTTCAATCAAAATGTTCGAAATTACAACCAAAAATACTGAATTGAACACTAAATTTGCTCATCAAATAAATCAATTATACTATACTGTTTGGGGTGCGGTGCCAGAAGACCTCCCCGTGGTGCACCCTGGGTGCGGGCGACAGTCTCCCTAGCGGGGGTGATAGGGTTGGAGTGACTGTCGCCCGCAGCAGACTTCTGGACTGGGCGGGCGAACCCGACAGGGTTCTGGAGGCGGCGGGCTGTGTGCTCATGGCCCGCGCTTCCGTGGGGCGTTTCTCCGCCTGTCTCTCTGAACGTAGCAGAGAGCGTGGCGGAGAGGCAAGGGCGGTGCTCGCTGTGCACTCACCCTGCCAGCGAGCAGCATCGGGACACAAGCTGTCCCCGATTGCAGCCGTCGATATCGTAATCCGTAAGGAGGTCACGGTCATGTTTTGTGACTCTGAACGGGACGAGGGTCTTGGCTTGGTCGCCCGGACCGCGAGGAAGATAACCTCTATAAAAAATTCCTCCAATACTAAGTTCTGGTGCGCGGCGAGAGTATGCATGGCTGAGGAGTAGTGTCAGTCGTGAGCGCACCCCCAGCTAGGGGACCAGTGGACCCTCTAGTTGGGAAACAAATTTTCACTTACCCAGGTACAGGGGGCACTGCCTGGGTGGACCGAATATTTCCCCCATACTCGTGGGAACTTTATGGAGAAA